AGCCTTACACACTGGGGTCACCTGGAGTGCTTGAAAAAACAATGTTGGGGCCCACCCCCACAGGTGTGATTTAATTGGTCTGGGCTTTGGCAGTTTTCCAAGATTCCTAGATGGTTCTAACATGAAGCACTCACTGCCCATTTGCTGACAGGCCCTGAAAACTCACCACTTGTCTGTGAGTTGTATTCTGTGGTTGCTTGGTAGAAGTCGGGGAAAGCCCTCACTCCCACTCCATACCACATGCTGAGCCCCTGATTTAGAGAACTCAAGTTGGGAGATGGGGTTTAGGCATCCTATAGTCAGTCCCGGGAGCTCTGGTAGCATAGTGGCTAAGGCACTTGACTGCTAACCAGAAGGCTGGCGGTTCAAACCCACCAGCCACTCCTCGGAAGGAAGGTTGGGCAATCCTACTTCCGTAGTGATACTGCCTCGGAAACCCAAGGAGGGGTCGCTATGAGTCGGGGCCGACTCGACGGCATATAACAACAACAACAACATAGTCAGTCCCAAGAGCTCTGGTGGCATAATGCCTAAGGAACTTGACCACTAACTAGAAGGCTGGCGGTTCAAACCCACCAGCCACCCCTCGGAAGGAAGGTTGGGCAATCTACTTCCATAGTGATACTGCCTCGGAAACCCAAGGAGGGGTCGCTGTGAGTCGAGTCTGACTTCACAGCAAATAACAACAACATAGTCAGTCCCAAGGAGCTCTGGTGGTGTGATGGTAAAAGCATTCCGCTAGTAACAAAAAGGTTACTGGTTCAAACCAACCAGCTGTTCTATCAGAGAAAGATGAGGATGAAGCAGTCTGTTTCCGTAAAGATTTGCAGTCTTGGAAACCCTGTGAGGGAGTTCTCTGTCCTATAGGGTCACTATGAGTCAGAATCGACTTGATGGCAGTGGGTTTGGTTTTCTTAGAGTCAGTCTAGGAGCTGGAATAAAACATCAACTCTGCAGACCAAGCCAGAACCCCCAAGCATAAGATGGGGAGAGGCAGCCCCCTTAGAGTTTTGCTTACTGGCTCGGTTACTATTTCCTGAGCATTTACACTGGGCTAGACATTGGGGATACAGCAGCAAACAAGACAGACCAGTAGGGTTCTGACTGAGTTTCTGTCGCCTTTCCTTCTACACTGGGGTTGGGAGCTGGAGGGTCTCTCGAGCTGCCCAAAGCCAGGCCTGAGGGCTTCCAAAGCCTCTCTGCAGAGGCCCTCCCTGGGGGCCTTGCTTGGTCTCTCATGTAATTTGCTTGAGAGGAGCCTGGAGAGGGGGCTTCTTTGACTTCTGATGGCAACACCCCTCCAGGGTTTCAAAATGGTTCCTTGGAGTGTAGGAGGGGGAGGAAATGAGGGACCAGCCCAGATGCCTTAACTTCCCCAATGAATCCCATAGTGGCTCCACGCTCCTGGCGTTTATCGTTACCTCTTCATTTCTACCCCTTGCTCCAGACCTTCATGCCAAGGACATTATGGAAGACGACTGGAGAGGAAGAAAGGGGGAGAGTGAAAGGCTTCAGGGCCTTGGCCCCTGCTCCACCTAAGTGTCCACACCTTGCTATAGGAAGCTCCATAACTTAACGGTTAAGTTTGTGATCACTGGAGCCTGGGTTCAAAACCGGCTCCACCACTTACTAGTATATGACTGTGGATAAGTTATTCAGTCCCTTTATGTATCACTTTCCTCTTCTGTAAAATGGGGATAATAACAAATCTAACTTCATAACGTTGATGTGAGGATTAAAGCATTAAGTGCTCAGAACTGTGCCTGGCCCATAGTAGGCTCAGTAAATGAAGGCTATTGTTTTGCCCCAGCTCACTCTCAGTTCCAAAATGCTCTTTGCTAACACCCTTGGCCAACCTGTCTGTGTTCTGTCTCCCTGCCCTCCCCTCCTCAATCCACCCATGAGTCCCGTCAGCCCAGTCCCATCCTCCTTTTCTTAATCAGCCTCAAGCTAAATTATGACCAGAGCCCTTTAGCTGGCATGCCCTGAGAACTCACCACTTGTTTGGAAGTTCACTTTGTAGTCTACCTTGAGTCCTGCCTGCTGCTGTTCTCACAAGCCTTGTGCTTCTTTGAGATTCTTGGCCTCATTTGCTGACTTGTAAACCCCTTGACACTTGGAAGTAGTCTGGTGGCCGCTCCACTGCTGTGCTCCTCCAGAGAAGGCTAAGAGAGAGGGTCTGGGCAACGTGCAGTCCCTTCCACAATCTTGCTTCTAGGGACCTGAGGTGGCTGCCTGGAGGCTGGAGCAGAGTAGAGATGGGAGGGGCAGCCCAAAGCGCCACTCCTACACTGAATCCCAAGGACAGGGACTCTGTCCACCCCTCTGGGCTCCCCTAGGAATCACACCTTACCTACCTGCCTTATTAACTCCCTGGCCCCTGGACAGAGATGTTGATGCCTGCCTGGCCTCCTGGACCTCAGAGAGAGAGTCACTGGCAACAGTAGGCCCTGCCTCTCCCCCTCGCCCAGAGCTGAGCATCACTCACTCCAGCCTTTCTCTCTCTCTTTCTACACACTGCAACCTAGAAGCGGCTGCTTGGAGCAGGGGAGGCTTGTGGGATGGGTCAGAGAATGGAGAAGACATTGGGGTAAGAAAAAAATCAGTGAGGGGCCTAGGAAGAGAGTAGGCTGAGTCACAGGAATCATCCCACAAAAAGTCTAGAGGTTAGGTGGAGTCTGTTAAGAGCATCTCATCCAACTCTTTGTGGCTTCTGATGCTGAGTCTTCTCTACCCCACCTCTCGCCAAGTGTCACCTGGCTTCTGCTTGTATGCCTCTAAGTCACAGAAAGGTCACTGCTACTGCAGCATCCCTTTTAGAGCTGAGAAGAGGGATAGGAGCCAGGAGCTGCAGAGACTGATAAACACACAGGAACAAGGCTTTGTCCTCCATTTCCCACTCTCCTTTCTCCGACATTCTCTCTCTCTTCAACTCTATCTCTTGGATCATCTTCATTTGTCTCACTATGAAACTGGGGTTTCCTTTGCATCAGCTGGAGAATTCACCAGCACACAAAATGATTAAGAAGTACCAAACTCAGCGCTTGCACACAGCAGACACTGCACGGTGAGCATGATGTGGTTAATTGTAATATATGAAGGACAACTTTGGCAGCAAACACAAGTGATGGGAGACAGTTTAGCACTGAGGGTGATTTCCTGAAGGCTCCCAAAGCAAGATCTCAGAGGGCACTGGAAACCCCAGCCCTGGGTTATAATGCACAGCAATGCTTCAGGGGGTGAATTTTGGGGACTGTTCCAGGAACTCCTACAGAGCTCCAAAATGGAGCCTATGAGCCATTCTGACTGAGTTTCCCCAGCCACTCCCCAGGCCTGCCAGTCACATCCCACACATGTGGATCCAGAGGCTGACACTTCAAGGCAAAGGGCTGGATCAGGGAAAGCTGAGCCATCACAGTTGCAGGGGGGAAGGGGTATCCCTGAATTTGACCCCTTCAATGTGGATCACGGTAAAAGGCAGTGGAGTTGGGGCTCAGGGAGATAGGAGACATGGGGACACATCAGAACCTGGTTCTTGCCCTGGGATCAGATTCTTTCAGAAGAAACCTTACACTTGCAGATAAATACAGTTCACAAGACAAGGTTAACACCGCTCTGCCAGGCACAAAGTGGGTAGAGATGGTTCGGTGGTGGAATTCTTGTCCTCCACGTAGGAGAGCTAGGTTCAAATCCTGGCCAATGGACCTCATGCATGGCCACCGCTCGTCCGTTAGTGGAGGCTTGCATGTTGCTAAGAAGCTGGACAGGTTTCAGCTTAGCTGGCGATCTACTTCCAAAAATCCATCCATCACAACAGTCTGACCCTCAGGGCTGGGCATCATTATCATTCCTTTCTGCGTGGGGTTGCGGTGAGTCAGGAGCTCATGCCACAGCAGCTAGCAACAGCCAGGTGCGGAACCAAGGGACTGCTTCAATAAACAGAGCAATTTGTAATTAACAGACGTCTCAGTTATCTTGTGCTGCAGTAACAGAAACCGCAAGTGGTAGCTTTAAGGAACAGAAATTTATTTTTTCATAGTTACGAGGCTACAAGTCCAAATTCAGGGTGCCAGCTCTAAGGGAAGGCTTTCTCTCGGTCGGCTCTTGGAGGGAAGTCCTTGTCTCTTCTGAGGTTCGGCTCCTGGGTGATCTTCATGTGGTTTGTCATCTCTCTTCTCGAATTCTTGGAGCTTGCCTAATCTGCTCTATTTATCTCTTGTAAGAAATTAACTCAAAATACACCCTACACTAATCCCGTCTCATTAACTTAACAGAAAACTCATTCTCAAATGGTACTAGAACCCCAGGCATAGAGGTTAGGATTTACAGCACATATTTTTTTTGGGATACAATTCAGTCCATAACAGCAGACTTCATTAATTCTTTATCAGCACCAAGGCAAGCTCATTTAAAACGTTTTCCTCCCTGGCAACGGTTTTTTTTTTTTTTTTTTTCTGATTATAGAAAGACTACCCAGTCATTCTACTGAGCCAATGGGAGCTCTGGTGGTGTAGTACCTAAGGCATTTGACTGCTAACCAGAAGGCTGGAGGTTCAAACCCACCAGCCAGTCCTCGAAAGTAAGACTGGGCAGTCTACTTCCGTAGAGATATCGCTTCAGAAACCCAAGGAGGGGTCCCTTTGAGTTGAATGGACTTGATGGAAGTTTTTTTTTTTTTTTTTTTAAACCCAGCCATTGTAGAACATCTGAAAATATATAGAAAAAAGAAAATAACACCCCCACACATTTACCCTATAATTTTACCACCCAGAGATATGTGGCCAATATTTTGGTGTATTTTCCTTAAGTCTGTTTTACAGAGTTTTTCTTTCTTTGAAGGTTTTTAACTTCCTTCCCCACCTCATACCCTCGGCCTTATTTACCCACCAAAGTCCTTCTTCAGTGTGCAAAGGGTCCAAGCTGCGGCCAGGCAGGCAGGATAGAAGCTGAGGGCTAAGAAACCCAGGGAGTGGCCCTCCTACCCTGGCAAGCCCGGGTGGTCAGGAGCAGCAGCCAGTTCTCTTTCGTGGCCTCTCAGGGGCCACCTCCACTAACGAGCTCTTCAGGCGGTCATCTTGCATCTTGAGTGACCTGCATGGCAACACTGAAGCTTCAGTCCTCCCTCTCACCTCCCAGGGTCAGTATAGAGGGTCCAACGGGAGGCTTCTCAAGCATGGGTAAGGGATTGAGGGGCTGCTCCCTGAAACTTTCCCTTCCCACCTGCTCTGCCCCTGCCTTGCATTCCTGTGGCACCGGGAAAATGGAACCACAGGAGACATTGGCATTCTATCTCTTTGTTGACACTCTTTCAGGCCTACTGTGTGCCAGGCACTGTGCCAGGGACTCTGGTATGACAAGACGCCAATACATCCCTGCCTTGAGTAGGGAGGATGACAGGTAGGAAAGGAAGCAACTGCACCCTAGGATTGAATGATAGATTGGGGAGCACACAGAGGGACTTCCCAGGGAGGAAGGAGGTGGTGTCTGAGCAGCCTAAGGGACGGACAAGAGTTTGCTGGCAGAAAAGGATGTGTGTTAACAGGCAGAGGGCAAAGGCTCAGTGTCAACAGAGAGGTTGGGGGGACTGGGGAATTAAAAGAAGTCCGTTCATTCATTATTCACAATATATTTACTATGTGCCAGGCCATATATCTCTGTGTGGTCTGCCCTAGACCACAGAACATAAGGGCTGAGTGGTCTGAGAGGAGCCTTAGAGGTAGCAGCAGGAGCCCAGGCCTCGGTGGGCCTCAGAAGCCACATTCGGGAACTTGGGCTTTTATCCTAAAGCGAAGGGAAGTAATTGAGCAGTTTTACCAGGAGGGCATGGTGGTAGGACCAAGTTTGCAGTCTAGCAAGCTCACCCCGGCTACTTTGTCAGAGATGGAGCCTCAAAGCTCATCAGGTCTAACACACCCCACCCTTACTCATTTCATTCATTTATTGAGCACCTACTCTGTGCCAGGTCCTTAGTATGGGGGCATTGAGGATTGGCAGGGGTATAAAACAGGCATGGGCTTGCCCTTTCAGAACTACAGTCTAGTGTAGTGTGAGAGGCAGACAACAAATGATTAAAAAAAAAAAAAAAAACAGAGAAATGCACATATAATTACAATTTGTTGAGGATGCTGTGATGGAGAATAGCAATGGGGGGCAGTGGTCAGAAGGGACTTCTCAGAATTGAAATCTAAAAGGTGTTGTTTTGTGCTATCATAGCAACTCTACAGGACAAAGTAGAACTGCCCGCCCCATAGAGTTTCCAAGGCTATAAATTTTTACGGAAGCAGATGCCACGTATTTCTTCTGTGGAGTGGCTGGTGGGTTCAAACCACTAACCTTTTGGTTAGCAGCTGAGTGCTTAACCATTGAACCACCAGCACTCCTTTCTGAAGGATGGCAGGGAGCCAATTATGAGGGGGGAGAGGACGTTCTTGGCAGAGGATAGAGCAGGAGCTCTGGTAGCATAGCGCCTAAGGCACTTGACTGCTAACCAGGAGGCTGGCGGTTCAAACCCACCAGCCACTCCTCAGAAGGAAGGAAGGAAGGTTGGGCAATCTACTTCCGTAGTGATATTGCCTCGGTAACCCAAGGAGGGGTCACTATGAGTCAGGTCCGACTCGACGGCAGATAACAACAACAACAGAGCAGGTGCAAAGGCTCTGAGGTAGGAAATCCTGTGAAGGAACCAAAGGGTGGCCACCGAAGCTGGTGCTGGGGGAGGGTGTGTGTGTGTAGGGGCTGAGGAGACAGCACTGGAGATGACGTAGGCTATTGGGAGGCATTGGGATTTTATTCTAAATCCAGTGGAAGTCACTAGAAGGTTGAGACCAGGACAGTGACACTTCCTCTCCCAACTCCACTTTACAGATGAAAAAACTGAGGCTCAAAGAGGGGAAGTGACTCACTGGAAGTGATATAGCTCATGAGAATTCTGGAACTGGGGTCAGGAGACTCAGTGCTGTGATCACTCTATTTGTCCAGTATTTGTCTAATAGCCCTGTTATTTAAATACAGTTTCCTTGCCCGTTTCCTCAGAATGAGTCTTGATTTTCCATGAGTCTGGGCTGAAGGCTGCCCTAGAGGATTCTGGGTGGATAGGGATGAGGTGACACTCACCGAGCCAGTTTTACCACAGGCTCCAGGATGTTGTGACCCAGGGCTGCGCTGCACTCTTCAAAGGAGACTCCCAGTTCCTGTAGGCCAGACACACAGGGGGCACAGGTGCCTTGAGGAGATGGACCCAGGTGGCAGCCTTTGGGTCCATCAAACAAAAGCCTGTCCATCCACAGTGCCAGTGCCAACAGGCAGCCCCATTTTGGTGTGGTCCCCAGCTGGGCTCCGGTGCCCACTCCGCTCCATCCAGGCTGATCAAGGTGTCGAGGATGCAACACTAGAAATATTCCTAGTCTTCAGAGTCTCAACTTGGAAAAAAACGTCTTTGGGGACATTTTATAACCATTAGTTATGTTTTCTGATTTCAAAATACTTCATTGGGGGAAACATTGGAAAAGTAGTATAAAAAAAAGTAAAATAATAAAATATAAGCCACTCCTGTTAGCATTTGGGCAATCTATTTCCATTCCGTTCTATATAACCCTTTCACTTGGGAAGAATGGACTAAACATCATCATGCTGTTAGGTAACCAGTTGCCATAGTTTCAACTCTAACTTATGGCAACCCCTTGTGGGTCAAAGGAGAACTGTACTCTCTGTAGGGTTTCAATGGCTACTTTTTAAAAAGTAAAATGCCAGGCCTATCTTCTGAGGCATCTGTAGTTGGACTTGAAACTCCAACCTTTCCATTAGCAGCCAAGTACATTAACCATTTGCGACGCACAGGGACTCCAAATAAGAGCTGGAGGTACTAGGAGTCGAAACTTTGGCCTTGTCCATGCAAAGCACATTTGTTACCACTGAGCTACATCCCCTCACTTGTTGTTATTGTTATGTGCCTTTGAGTCAGACTCCACTCATAGCGACCCCCCCCCCTTGGGTTTCCAAGGCAGTATCACTACGGAAGTAGATTGCCTCATCTTCCTTCTGAGGAGTGGCTGGTGAGTTTGAACCGCCAGCCTTCTGGTTAGCAGTCAAGTGCCTTAGCCATTACGCTACCAGAGTTCCCCATCCCCTCACTACTGTTAGGTTAACCAGAATGAAACTGCTGTTTGAGTAAGCCCCAAACAGTCAAATATCAGCAATTCCATATTGTTCAACCTAACCTATATCCAGCTGTACAGCTGGTTTCTCTGACTACAAGGAGTGCTGGTGGTGCAGTGGTTAAAGCAGTCAGCTACTAACCAAAAAAGTCAGCAGTTCCAACTCACCAGCCATTCCAAGAGAGAAAGACGAGGCAGTCTGCTTCTGTAAAGATTTACAGCCTTGGGAACCCTATAGGGGCAGTTCTACTCTGTCCTATAGGGTTGCTATGAGTTAAAATCAACTCAATGGCAGTGGGTTTGGTTTGGGTCTCTGACTTCACATTTTACTGTAAGCATTTCTTCCACACCCTTAAATATGCTTCCAGGACAGAATTCTGAATGGCAAATAATTAACTCCTCATAAGAACATGCCACAGTTTGACTATCAACTTCAGCCAAATGTTTGTTCTTACAAATAACACTGTAAAGAACATTCTCATATAAGCAAGTTCGATTATGTATTAAACACAGGTATCCATTAGGTTATTCTCTTAGAGATTATTATTTCTGATTCTTCCCTGAGGATAAACTGCTAGAGGAGAAATTACTCAAAGAGGTGAGCTACGACTTTTAAGATGAAAAAATTCCCACAAACCAGGAACCACATGATGACCTTATGATTCTGAGAAGTGAGAGGAGAAACGGGAAGAAAATACAATGTGGAACTATTAAGAAAGATTGTGTCAGAGGTGGGATGTGGAGGAGCTTTTTTTTGTCTCCTTTACTATTCCCAGATTTTCTGTAATGTGGTTGAATTCTGTTCATAATTAAGTAGTATTCACTGTCTAGTGATGGGGCTTTTGATGTCATCTTCCCGGGGAAGAATTTGAGTCTTAAGATAGAATAAATTAGAAGGGAGAATGTTAATTAGAGACCAGAGATAAAATTAAGATTTGATTGGGAACTTTAAATGAAGCTTTTAAAAACCCTTTAACTCTAAACATATTTTTTATGTAGGTTGGGATCTTGTGTGGGAATTTGCTAATTTAAAAATAAGGATCAATGTTATGTCCGTTATTACAGTCTTGTGTTTGGGTCAAGGCTGGTCTCCATGGACTGGGCGGGTGAGGGCAGAGGACCCAGGCTGCTATCTGCTCTGACCTGCTCTTTGGCTGGGGCAGAGTCAGACATGGGCAGAAGAATGTTCCTTCTCAGTTGCCCAGGTTAGGTGACCCTTATTCAGTGCCCTCCAGAGTGGTGGTAGCCCAGTGCATGCTGGGATAAGGGCCAATGCCCAGGTGCTCACCTTGGCCAGTTGTCGTCCAGCCTCAGTGGGCACCTGCCGTTCCTCCTCACAGTCCATCTTGTTTCCCAGGAGAAGGGTGACCACATTGTCAGACCCTGAGTCCTATACACAGAACACATTATCTCAACCACAGGTGCTGAGTACTTATGTCAGGCCTGGGGCAGATTTGATCCTGCCTTCCTGGGAACTAAGAGTGTGTCCCCTCCTTGACACATGCCCAGGGTTAGGGGGCTGCCTCTGCTTGTTCCACCCCTCCACACTCTTTCCATCTTACCACCATCTCCCATTCACAGTGAGTCTGCCTCTCCTCTCTGCCTGCAAACATCTTACCCGCTTTCCAAGGCCAGCCTCAAGGGCAGCTCCCCAGGAAGCCTTTGGGGGTGGCTCCTGCCCATAGCCCTCTCTTCCTGTCTATGCTGAACAGTACAGCATCATACTTGATTACCCAGAATGCCTTGGTTCATTTCTTAATGGTTTTGTGTGTAATAATCACAATAGCTTCTGTTTGCGTCTATGAACAGCTCTGGGTGCTTATAATAAAATAGCTTCTGAGTGGTTGCTACACGCCAGGTGCTATGCTGAAAGCCATTGAATCAGTTAATCCTTACAACTCTGCTCTAAGAGAAATGGGAAGATTAAAGTTCAGAGAGGTTAAGTCCCTTGTCTAAGGTGACAGAGTTAGTAGGCAGGGTAGTTGAGATTCAAACCCAGGTCCTGTCATAACTCAGAGCCCAATTCTTCTCCTCAATCATTACCTTATCCTGCTTTCTTTGCATCTCTTCAACTACACTAGAAACTTCTGGAGAGAAGACAGCATGTCTTCAAACCTCTCTGCTATGCTACTACTAGTACATATGCAGAATTTCAGTGTATAGGTATCAATCAAATACGTGGGGGAATGGGATGCATGAACAGAGGGCTTTATCACTTACAATGACACTAGAATTACATTATTCCCAGATGTTAAGAAGAAGATATGACAAACAGGTATAAGATGGCTATGAGTAGGAAAAAAATGTCCACAGGATAAAGGAAGTAGTTTGGTTTGGGGGCTGTACTGTGTGGTTATAGTTTCTTTGTACGACTGTTCACTGTTCATCCAGCCAGAGGCTCTCAGTGAGTGGTGTCACCGTATGTCTGTTGTGTCATTTGTGATTCTGGGAAAAAGAAGAGGGAGTGGGCAAGACACAAGCTTCCTCCGGACTACAAAAACTGGGCCCACCCCTGGCAGCCATCGGCTCACCTGGAGACAGTCCATCCAGTAGCGCACGTTGGTGAAGCTCTTCTGGTCTGTGATGTCATACATGAGCACCACCCCATCAGCCTTGCGGAGAAGCTGCCGAGTCATGCTGTGGTACCTGCCCATAGAGTTTACATGAGCCCCCCCCCCCCCAGGTGCCCTGATCCCAGGCCCTGGCCTCTCTAGGCCTCAGCCACTCCATCTGCAAAGTGGGGAGAGTGAACCTGTCCTGCCTCTAATTGCTTCCCAAATAGAGTCTGCATATGCATTCCTTTTTACCATGGAGACTTTGTTAAATAGGTAATAAGTTCTCATGGCTCAAATTTCAAAAGGTACCAAAGGGCATCCTTTGATGAAAAGTCTCCTCCTCTTTCCCACAGCCACCCAATCTCCCTTCCCAAAGGCAACCAGTGTACCAGTTTCTTAACTGTCTTTCCAGAGGTATTTTATGTTTCTATATAAACATATGTGTGAGTGTGTATATATAGATAGATACAAATATGTTGTTGTTGTTATGTGCCATTGAGTCGGCCCCGACTCATAGCAACCCTTCCTTGGGTTTCTGAGGTGGTATTACTACAGAAGTAGATTGCCCAACCTTCCTTCCCAGGAGTGGCTGGTGGGTTTGAACTGCCAGCCTTCTGGTTAGCAGTCAAGTGCCTTAGGCACTGAGTGACCAGAGCTCCTAGATACAGATATAGATGCACACATATACACACACAGATGTCTCCCCTTCCATTTCACACAAATACAGTATAAAACATTCATTGCATTCATCAATACTCACTTTCCTGTACTTCGTTATTTCCAGTTAACAAAACATCTTGGAAATATTTCTCCGTTGGTGCATAAAGAGAGTCCCCAGTCTTTTTTATGGTTTCATCATATTCTATTGTATGAATAGACCTTCATGCATTTAGCTAGGCTTCTACTGGTGGATATTTAGGTTGTTTCCAATGTTTCATAATATAAGTGATTTTTCTATGTATGGTCCTTGTCCCTAAGTTATTATAGTCATGTATGACTAGAAATAGAACTACTAGGTCAAAGAATAATACTTTTTAAAATTTTGATCAGTAGTGCTTAGCTGGAAATGGAAGGCCAGAGTTTTCACAAGGACAGGTGATTGGGATGACCTTAACCTGTGCCCTGCCCGGCTGGAGAGGGGGTCCGGCTCATTGCTCTTTCCCGGATGTCCTTCCCTGACACCTTGAATCCTTAGGAGATGGATGTCTCATCTATACTTGGCCTCCTGCCCATGTTGGACTTCTCAAGGTTGGGGCTGCCTTTGGCGCCTTTCCACCCCCAGGCTCAGCCCAGGTCCCCAACACCATTGATGGTGAAGCCTGTCGACTATGCCCCTCACCTCTCCTGGCCAGCCGTGTCCCAGAGCTGCAGTGCAAAGTGCTTGTTGTCCACCAGCAGGGTTTTGACCCGAAAATCCACTCCTAGGACACAGAGGGGGTAAGGCTCACTTCAAGTTACCATCCAGGACTTCCAGCCCAAACCAAACCAGTTGCCGCTGAGTTAACTCATGAGTTTGATTCATGGCAATCCCATGTGTGTCAGAGTAGAACTGTGCTCTATGAGGTTTTTGGTGGCTAAGCTTTCAGAAGTAGGTCACCAGGCCTTTCTTCTGAGGCCCCTCTGGGTGGACTCAAACCCCCAAACTTTTGGTTAGCAGCCTAGTGTATTAACCATTTGCATCACCCAAGACTCCTTTGGGAGCTCTGGTAGCATAGTGCCTAAGGCACTTAAAGGCTGGCAGTTCAAACCCACCAGCCGCTCCTCGGAAGGAAGGTTGGGCAATCTACTTCCGTAGTGATACTGCCTCGGGCAACCCAAGGAGGGGTCACTATGAGTCGGGTCTAACTCGACAGCACATAACAACAACAACAACAACAGCAGACTCCTTTAGCCAAAACATGCCCAGATATATGCCTATCCCCAACACCAGTCATGGTGAGGTGATAGCTGTTGGCTGGTGTGCTTCCTCTCTGCTCTCCAAGTCCTATCCATACTTTAGAGCCCACTTCCTCCAAGAAGCCTTCCCTGACCACTCACCCCACAGAGTTCACTGTGCCTGCTCTGCTCCCATACCCTGACAGTTGGTGCCAAGACAAGGCACCTTGTATTGTTTCCTCTTCAGGCCACCCAGAAAAACTAGTCTCATTATTTTATTTTTATAAGACTCCTTCTTTTATCTCTTAATAGCTGTATGCATCTTCTCCTTTCAACTAGACAGCAATGTAGAGAGGGGAGTGTAAGGAGCACTGACTTCAGGACTCAATCTGGCTGTGAGTCGTCCACCTTCTGCCTATGCAGGCTATGTGACCTTGCAGAAGTCACTTCACCTCTCTGAGCCTTCATTTCCTCATCTGTAAGGTGGCAATTTAAAAAGACCTGAACTTCAGAGTGAGTGAGAGGGTTCAATGAGAAACCTATTTCAAAGATTTGCCCTGGTTTCCAATGGAGGAAAGTAATTTGGGAGGTGGTAATTTTTATTATTTTAAATAATTTTATTTTAAATGACAATTAAAATTTTTTCAATCATCAGAAAATTTATCAACTAAAAGATAAATAATTAAAAATAGTAAAAATTGATCATTTTTATTATTACTATTAAGTCTCATCTTCCTAAACCCCAGTCCCCCAAATTTCAAAGCCCTACCTCTTCCTCTGGTCATATTTCCAGACCTTTTCTGTCCTGGATATATGTAGGTCAGAGTGAAATCCCAGGGAGGCTTGGAATCTTTAGGGTACACCTTGCTGCTAACCCTCACTTCCTCAGGAAACCATGCCTGGATTGAGGGTATCATGGGGAGAGGCTGCTTTGTCCTCATTCCCCACCCTCTTTCATAACGGAGCCCTGAGGCTGAAGAACACATGTAGGTCCCCAGGCCATCTCAGGAAAGATGCACCAATTCCTATTGGCTGTGCCAGACTCAGCCTTCAGCTATTACCACCTTTCTCAATAGCCACCCCCAATAGAACCTGCTGCTGCCCCCTGGTGGTGGTTGATAGCATAGCTACCTCCCTGCCTGCTCTCTAAGGAGGCTGGGAAAAGTGGCAGCTCCTTAGCAAAATGGTGAAGTGGAAGAAGTTTACCCTTAGCATATGCTTCTCTTTGATGCCCTTTTTCCTGAAGTTCTTAGGAAGCCCAGGGTCTGTAGGTAACTCTGAAGTTATCCAATGCCCCTGTGATAATATCCAAACTGCACTGAAATACCCACAGTGATGAAGGACTCACTGCTTCTATCAACTAGCACTAACAATTCTTCCTGGGATTCTATAACTCTCTAGTCTAGGAGTGATGACTCCTACTTTTCCACCTTCTTGCCAATTCCCTTCTTCAATTCACCCATGTGTCTCTATCCTCCCCCAAAACATATTACAGCTTAACCACATAAACTGTTAGGGTTATAACGTTTTCTGAGTGGCACCAGCTGTTTATGATTGGCTGCTAACCCCAAGGCTGGTTTGAATCCACCCAGCAGCACTGTGGAGGTGGAAGAAAGGCCTGGCAATCTGCTCTCATAAAGATTACAGCCAAGAAAACCCTATGAACCTGTTATACTCTGTATCACATGGGGTTACCATGAGTCAGGGTTGACTCAAGGCAACAGGGTTTGTTTTGTTTTTTTGCCATCCCCTTCTTCAATCCACCCACGTGTTCCTGTGCTTTTCTTTAAAATATGTTACAATGTAATCATATAATCTGTTAGGGGTATAATGTTTTCTCTTTTGCAGGGACTCTACTATTTTAAATGAGCAGCCCCAGGAGAAGGCAATGCTGAACCCAAAAGAGAGTAAAACTTCTGGTGTGGGGATATGAGCTTTGAAGGCAGGTTATGCTGGATATGAGCTCTAGCTTTGGAGCCCAGCTAGGGGAAGAAACTTGACCAGGTCTTCAAATCAATTTCCTTATCTTTAAAACGGGTAAATAAGGAAAGATCTCACACACACACACACAAAAAACGCACATTTGGATATAATTCAATTGGCTCTGGTCTTCCACCTGGCCCTGTTCTCAAACACAAGCAGGCTATGGTTCTTGCCTCTGAGAGAAGGGGGAATGAATGGAGAGAGGCGAACTCAGTGGGAAATGTTTGTGACTGGTGAAGCCAGAATGGTCCCCAGTGATATTAAAGCCTGAATGGACAATAGCCACCAGGTGGCACCAAATCACAGCTGGGCCTGGGACAGATTTTTGCTCTGCACCTGGATCTCAAGTTCTCCCAATTGTTAGCAGTGCATGCAGCCTTGCCCCATCTTTTTACAATGTGGGTTTTTTTTTTTTTTTTTCCCTTTCTTTTCTTGATTGAATGTTGTAGAATCTTCTTACCACATAATAATGGGAAGGCTTAATTATAAGGAGTGTTGTTGTAAGGAGTAAGACATGTAGATAAGATGCCTGGTACATTGTAGGCGTTCAGTAAATAGTAGCTAAGATAATTAATAATGGTGGCCCTGCAGACACTGTGACTCTACCCAACATCAGGGAAGGCCTATTATGAGCTCCCCTCCCCAAGGGGACTCCATTTTTAACAAGCATCCCAGGTGCGGATTCTTAGAGCAAAGTTTGAGAACCTGTGCTGGGTCCCTCTTGTGCAAGGGCTGTCATTTATCCACCAGCCTGGCACTGGTCCCCTGTCAGCACATGCCCTGGCTGACACAAGGATGTGAATCCTTCCATCTTTGCCTCTAAATGGGTTTCCCCTTCATCCCCATCAGTTTACTTTTCTGTAGCTCTATACATTCAAGTGCCCATTCAAAAAAACAAAAAAAGAGTTGCCATTGAGTCAATTCTGGCTTGTGGTGACTCTATGTATGTCAGAGTACATCTGGGTTCCATAGAGTTTTCAACAGTTGATTTTTCAGAAGTAGATTCTTCCAAGGTGCATCTGGTGCACTCAAGCCTTCAACATTTCATTAGCAATTGACCTTGTTAACTGTTTGCACCACCCAAGGAGTGGCCATAGATCCAGATATTTCTAGGGAGGAGAGGCTTTGTGCTTTAGGGTATTTCATTTGCAGGAGCCACTGAATTAGACATTATCAAATATTTGCTTAAAATAATAATAACTAATATTTACTGAGCTCTTACTAGGTGCCAGACATTATTCTAAGTGCTTGCTATGTATTAACTAATCCTGACTCTAGTACTGTAGGAAGTCAGTACCATTGCTGCCCCCATGATTTAGATGAGGATTTAGGAGCTCAGAGGGATTAAATAATTTGCCCAAGTTCATACCACTAGAAAATGGCAGAGCTGGAATTTGAACTCAGGCACCTAAGTTCCTAACACCTCACTCTTCAAATACATTCTGTGTAAGATACTCAATTTGTTCAAGATGACTTCCTGCTAGAGCATGGCTCTCTGGCCCGGAGCCAGTCATGAGCAAATCCAGCCACCACGGGCCCTGCAGTGGCTTGCCAGTGGGCCACGTGTGTGGAGACTTGCTTGTTTTTACCATCACCCAGGGCTGGCACCTAAATTGCAGGGTGCTTTGTTGATGTGACACATTATAAGCTAATCAGATCAATGCTGAAAAAGCAAATTACCTGTAATTAGAGATGATTAGTAAAATATACCCATATAAAATAATGTCTCATGTGGGGCCCACGGCCAGGGCAGAACCTGCCTGCGTCCTCAGAGACAGCTTGCTTTGGGCCTGCTGTGGCTTGTTGGCCCAGGCCCCTGGGTCTCCCCTCCCTCTCTGCCGCCATCCCTGGGCGGGACACTTACCCACAGTAGCTGTTAGCCCAGTGGCAAATGAGTCGTGGTGCAGCAGGTGCAGGAAGGAGGTTTTGCCCACATTTGAGTCCCCCAGGAAGATGACATGGAAGACGTAATCAGGGTCAGCCTGAGGCTTGCTGCCCAGGATGTTCCCTGGGAACAAAGACTGCCCAGCCTCCCAGGAGTCCGTTCCTGGGTCTTCAGATCTGTTCTCTGCCCTCGGCTCCCTGGATCGAGCAGGACTTTGCTCTCCTTTTGCCTGAGCATGCATGAGTGGGAGCCCAGATTGAGCTTCCAGCTCTACCACTGTGGGGAGGGTTTGTATGGGCTCCTGGGGCCCTGCTCCATCACCAGGCTGAGCCCCCATGGAGAAAGAGCTGCCTGGGGCTGATCGTTTCCCAGGAATGGGGGCCTCTGCTTCAGACTGAACCTGGAGTGGGCCGTGAGGGGGCGTAGCAGACAAAGCATCTTGCAGATGAGGTTCTGACTGCTCTGAACCCATGTCCTGCCCACCTTGGTCCTCTTGTTTTCCTTCCTCAGCCTGGGGCTCTTCTGCCAGATTCCAGTGGTGGAGGGCAGGCAGACCATCTGGCCTGAGGACCTGGCCATGAGCCCCTCTTTGTGCCCCAGAGTGGCCCTCCTGCTCCTCTGAGCCCAGCTTGCCTGTCTCCAGCCCCTCTTTGGGAGCCACAGACTCCAGACCCTGGGAAGGCTCAGCTGGCCCTTGTATGAAGGTCCCAGCCCCCAAGGAGCCTGACCCTGGCTCAAGGCCTACAATATGTGGGTCCTGAAGAAGGATCTCTCTTTGCTTGGGCAGCTTGATTGAAGCAGGCTCAGACCTAGGGCCTTCGTCATCTGGGTCTGAGGTCTGGAACAGCTCATTGGGCCCACCTGGGGCCTGGGGAGGGGGAGATTCCACATGAGGAGGGAACTTATCCTCCAGAGGGATGAGCATTTTAAGTGTGGCTTCCACCAGGCTCCCTGCCTGCCCAACTGTGGCCCCTGGGAGATCCCAGTGGAAGTGGGTCTCAGAATCAGGCCTTGGCTTGTCCTTGGCTTCCAGGCCAGGAGGCTGCACGGGCTGCTCTGACCTGATGTCCTGCCCATCTGAGTCCCCTTCTTTCTCCTCCTTGGCCCTGGAAGGCCCCCCAGAGGGGCTCCTTAGAACACCATCCAGATCTGAAGCTGGCTCCTGACCAAAGGACAGAGAGCGTGGTTCTGAGATGGAGATCTGCCTGACCACTCGGGGCGTCTCGGGGGCCGAGGAGGCTCTCGGAGTCGGGGGTGGGCTCCAGTAGAGCTGGAGGGCTCTGAGTGGGGGGCTGCTAAAGCCACTCAGGAGCTTGTCCCAGTCATCATTGTCCCCAAACAGCCCAGGCAAGGGTGTCTCCTCAGGGGAGATGGCCTGGGCAGCTGGGGCCTTCTCTTCCTCTGCTCTGGGGGAGCTGAAAAGGATGAGAGGAGGTGATGGTCAGGGGAGGGGCAGGCAGGAGGATGATGTCACACCAACCCCACAAGCATCCCTCACCATCCTTTGTACGTTTCACACCTGGTCCTCCCTCCCAGGCTTTGCTAGGGCAGTCTTCACCTAGCATGCCTTCCTAGTCTTCTCCCTCAGCCAATCCTACTTATCCTTCAAGGACCACATGAAGCTTCACTTCCTCTAGGAAGCTTTCTAACCCATACCCCTCCTCCAAGCTATGATAAGTAAAGCAAGGGCCTTCCAGGGAAGCAGCACCCCAGGAGGCCCTATGTGTGTGTATGTGTGTCCCAGTTATGTGTCATTGGGCATGTGCAGTGCAGTGAATTACTTGTTATGGCTTTTCTAGCCATAGTCTTTGTAACTTGCATCGAAGATCTTGCAATGCAGTGAATTACTTGGTATGGCCACAGTCTTTGTAAACTCCCACTGGATTACTGGGTGGGACCATGCAAATAAGGTGTGTCAAACTCTGGTCAGTTTTGTCACTCTGCTAGGCTTAAAATGAGCCCTCCTAGAGGGAGAGAAGGGATCTTACTGTCATCAAGAGAGAAGAGCAGAGCTGGAGATGAAGTAGGGTGTGTACTTGGACCCGAGATCCCTGCACTGGACTTCCTTGGCAGAGATGCATAGCAGAGAGAGATGCCCCAGCAGAGAGAGATACCCCAGCAGAGAGTGACAGTCACAGTGGAACCAAGAGGCACGTGACAGAGAGGTGGGCTTACCTGGCCCACCGAGTGAAAAAGCTGAGTGCCTTTGCCCAGGAGGCTTGCTGGCGGAGTGGGGTTCACCTAGGTGTACCTATCAGCAGAGCTAAAAGAGCTTTGTAACATTGACCCAACCAGGGCAGAGGCCAGGCCAAGAGGCCAAGGGCCAGAGAGGTGAGCCTAGGGCACAGCAGAGGGGAGACTCTCCTGATTGAAGAATTGTATCCTGAGTGCATTCCTGAAACTGAATTGTACCTTGTTACTTCCCTAATAAATCCCATAATCATGAGTATTATCTGTGAGTTCTGTGTGGCCATTGCAACGAATCATCAAACTCAGCAAAGAAGTAGTGAGTGCCATGGGAGGGGTGGTTGGTGTCAGAATTGGTAAAAGGCTAGAGGCCGGCAGTATGTCTGGCCTCATAGGAATAAACCTTGGGCTGCTGATGGTGATTCTGTCTTCCTCTTGTGAAGTTAGAGGAGGTTAGAAAATTCTGCCTCCATGCCCTTTTTTCAGAATGTAAATTTTCCCTCTCTGTGCCTCCCTTTCCTCATCTGTGAAATGAGCATGAAAATCCCAGCCTGGCAGGGCTTTTGAGAGAATTAAAGGAGGGAGACTGTATGTGCACTGGGTGCTAAGCAGAGCCTCGGAGAACTTAGAACGTTCCTCCCCTCTTCCAGAAAGTCTCTGACCTCTACCCCAGCAGCCCAGGCCTGGTAGCCACTGACCTTGGTTCCTCCTCCTCCACCTGCCAAGATACACGGCCCTTGGCAGCTTCCAGGTGCCCCCTGGTCACCTGCAGCTGTCCCCGCACCTCCTCCAGCTGTCCGGCCAGTTCTCGCTCTACCTCTCGGAGTTGCTGGTTCTCTGAGCTGGCCTCCTGGTGGGTGCTACTAAGGCAGTGGAGCTGGGCCTCCAGCTGCAGGGGGTGGAGGGTGAGGAAGAGAGAACTTGACCAGTTGCCCTCTGGTCAAGGCAAAGCCTCCCAAAGCCACCCTAGAGCATAGACCACCCTCTCCCTTTGAGGCTCCTAGGGACCTAGCTCAAAAAATATAGGTTTGGGGTTGGAAAGGTTACCCCCATCGGCTTAATTAGCTCCATTACCTCCTACCCAGGAGAGAAATGTTCTTTGTAGGGGCAGGGAGGAGAGAGGAAAAGGGCCTCTACACAAGGGCCAACACATAAATGAGACCACGCCCTCTTCTGCTCACAGCCTCCAGGGCTACTCATCTCTGAGCCCCGTAGCAGATCACACAATGCCCAGATGGAGTTCTGACCCCCATTTGTCCGATGACATAACCGAGTCTCAGAGGTTAAGAACGTTTCCAAGGTCACTCAGCCAACAGTGAAGACAGAGTTGAATGTCACCCTGTCACCAAACCTCTGCCATATTAAGACCTCATGTTTGTCCAGTGCTCTCCTGTCTCCAAGTGCTTTCCCATGTATTACTTCATTTGACCTAACAAGCCTCCAAGATGCAGTGGATGCAATTATCCCCATTTTACAGATGGAGAAACTGGGGCCAGGCCAAGCAAAGTGATTTCCTCAAGTTTGCATGACTCTTAAGTGGAACAGCAGGCTTTGAAATCATGCCCCATTTGCATCCACAGCACTTTCTAACCTCATCTAAGAAAAGGGCTCAAGACTCCTTTCTCTCAGAGGCCTATTCTCATATATGAGCCCAACCAGTCCAACGAGGCCTCCAGATCTGCTAATATTTATGGCAGGTCCAAGGATGGTTGTCAAAGTCCGTGAACTCTCTGAAATCAGGCTTCCAAAGAAGCCCTGTGGCTCACCTCCCTCTGGCCCTCAGCCAGCTGCTGCACCTCACGCTCCTTTGTCTCCAGAACTTCTTGCATCTGCAAGCTGAGGGCCAGGCCCCGGGAGTTGCTCTGGGGAGCAGAGAGGCCTCAGCTCCTGCATTGCAGGCTCCATGACCCAGCCAGCTGGGCTGGCCCTCCCCATGCTCACATCTCCACCCAGGCCTGGGGTGCAGGGATCAGGATGTCTTGGCAGGGAGGGTTCTGTGGGCGACTCCCCAGCTCAGGCCTAGATTGTGGCAACAAGGAGAATGAGGCCCAGAGAGGGTTGGGACTGGCTGTGGGGTGCATAGCAAGGCCTCATAGAAATGGGAAGGAGCCCAGGATTGGGACTCACCACCCCATGTCTTTGGGTAACACGTTCTGGTCAGATCTGTGAGGGGACCTACTCCCGGCAGCCTCCTACTGCCCTCACTGTCCAGTCTTGGCCCCATGACTTAGCCAGCACAGGAGTCCAGCACAGGGGGTAAGGGGCAGGGGCAAGGGGCAGCTGCTGGAAGGGAGCGCACCTCGGCTTGCAGCTGCTGTTTCTCCCGGTGGATCTGCTGTTCCATCTCCTGATAGAGCTCCTGGACCTCACGGTGATGGTCAGAGTCACGTCTGTAAGGGATCAAAGATGGTGGGATGGGAGTGGGGGGCACACAGCCCACCAGGCCCTCTGGGGCCAAGCTGCTGGCAGGGTTGGTCTGGACCTGGGTTTGGAGTCCACTCTGCTGCTCACTTCTCCCTGGCAGCAGTCACTGACCCTGTCACCCTGAGAACAGTCATCTTGACCCATATGACTTTGATATCGGTCACCTTGACCCTGTCACATAGTCCCCATTACCCCCTCACTCTGTCCCCGCCTCCCTCTATCACCATCCCTCTGCTCCCATAACTCAAAGCCTCTAGCAGGGCTGTAACCTTTGCCAGCTCCGGGGGTCACCATACATATGCTAATTATGTGAACAGTCTCTTGCATCACAGCTGCCTCCAGCTCATCTCTGCCCCATCCAGTCCCCAGGCCCTGCTGTGCTGGGGGAATTCCATTTGGATTCAACTAAAATATAAAGAACACCTACTAGGTGCCATGCCAGCTAAGGGCACTTTCTGCTCATGCTCTCACCACCTCCACTCACTTCCTCAGGGTCAGCTCCAGAGCCTCCTTGTCAGCTCGCACCTCTTGAAGGCGACTGGTCATCTTGGCCAGAAAGCCCTCCAGGTTGCCTGCCAGGTGGGGCTCCTCCTGCCGCAGCTTCACCCACAGCTGCCAGATCTCTGTTTGCCTACAAGAGAGAGGGAAGCCAGAGGTTAGGTAAGAGATGGGACTGGAGCAAGAGGGACCCACTCCTTGGTTATAATTGTATTGCTCCAGAAGACTTGGGCACCTGGGCTCCAAAAGTCTACTCACACACTATAAGGTGAAAATCAAATGCTACCTCCTCCAGGATCCTTTCCCACATATGTCCTCTCCCTCCTTGAACCCCACAACACTGTGTCTCTCTTTGATTTAATGATTAAACATGGAGTGGTGGGCCTTGGGGGCTTCTAGCTTCCTTCTCCCTTCTCACACACTCTGTAGCTGTGTGACCTTTGGCAAGTCTAATGCCCTCTCTGGGTTCATTTGTCAAATGGGGAAGCTGCTACCTGCCTGGCAAGGTGGCTGGAGAACGAGAGACATGCCTGATGAAAGCACCAGCTTGGGGCCTGGCACCTGGTTGGCATTCGATAAATGCTGCTTTCACACAGACTTAATTAAGTCATGAAGACAAATGCCAGAGGGCTGAGCCAGGTCATGCTGCCAAGTGGGTAAATGGTTCCCACCCCACCTGCCCTGCCAGCCTGCATTCTAAGTCCCACCCCACCGACCCCACAACACTGGGCCACACCCCCCAGGAGCTAGACGTGAGGGATCTTGTCCCCCATCAGTGGGGTGAGCAAGCCAGAGCAAATGGGCAAAGGTGAGTCCCTCACTGACTCTAAGGGACCCTCGTGGGGCCTGGGGTTGTGAGAGGGGCACTTTCAGGCAGCTTCTCTTCTCTGAGCACGAGGGAGCCCTATAAGCCTGAGACAATTTGAAGGAAATGCCTTTCTGTCTTCACAATTACCCAATCCTGGGCATCCAACCCAAAACCAAACTAAACTCATCACCATTAAGTTGATTCTGACTCAGTGCAACCCCCACTAGGCTTCCAAGACTACATATCTTTATGGAAGAAGACTGCCTCATCTTTCTTCCATGGGGCAGCTGGTGGTTTAAACCATGGACCTTTTGGTTAGCAGCCAAATGCCCTAACCACTACACCACCAGGGCTCCTTAACCCTGAGCATCACAGTGCCTGAAGTCACCCCATTGGAGAACCCTCTCTTTGTGTTAAGAAAGGCACCTTCAGGGAGTCTCATGTTTTTAAGAATGGAAGAGCCCTTGGGAGACTGATAGCTCAATTCACTAATCCTGCTGGGGAGTAGTCCTGTAGGGCAGGACACAAGAGAGTATAGGAGTGTGTGGAACTTCCCTTGAGAACTTCCTTCACACGTGGTCTCATTTAATCCCACTACCACCAGGTGTCAACAAGTTGGCTCTGACTCATGGAGACCCCATGTGTGGCAGAGTCCAACTATGCTCCATAGAGTGAGCTCATTTTTCAGAAATAAGTCACCAGACCTTTCTTCCATGGCATTTCTGGGTGGACTCAAACCACCAACCTTTTGGTTATCAGCAGAGCACTTTAAGTGTACCACCCAGGGACTCCCATTTAATCCCACAACACCCCTTATGCTCATTCTGCAGCTGGAAAAGGAACAAAGGCAGAGAGATAAGACCATCTGTTGAAGTTGCACTACTAGCAAGTAGCCAATCCAGGATTTGTACCTTGCTCTACCCAGAAGCCTCCCATCTTGACACTGTGCCTGTGCGAGCCCCTACCCTACAGACACTGCTGTTCTTACTCAGGAAGTAAGTGGCTGGCCCCCAGCTGCTCCATGAAGGCAAGGAATGCCTCCTTCTCCTCGGTGTTGGCCTCCTCCAGTGCTGGGAAGGTGACAGCTGCAGATCTCCGCTTGGGGGGCAGTGGCCTCCTTCTGTGGAGCTTGTGGGTGCTCAGGTCGGAGCCAAAGATGCTCTCTGTGGACAGAGGGAGACAGAGGGAAGCACCCTATACCTTCCATCCTGCCCTGCTCCAGCCCTTGGGAAAAGTAATTATACCTGTGTTGGTCACATTTATACAGGGTCACATTCATTCATTCTTCATATCCACCTTGGGTGTCTACTCAAGATAGACACTATGCCCATTTTACAGATGAGAATCAGAGGCCCAGAGAGGCCAAGAAACTTGCCAAAAGTCACATAGCAGATCCATGGTGGCCAAAAGATCCTTCATTCACTCACTCAAGGAATATTAATTGAGCATCTACTATATTTGGGCACATAGTAATAGTTTTAAGTGCTGGGGACAAAATTGGCACTAATCCCCGCCCTGGTGGAGTTGACATTCTAGTGAGAGTTGAGGAACAAGATCCTTTTTCTAAAAGGAGGTACATTTGCTGAGTGAGCTAAAGGGATGAACAGGTTAATTGCCATCAAGAGACTGGGAGAGGGGCCTACTTTAGATGAGGTGGTGGTCAGGAGGTATCCTTGAGGATGTGATGAGTTGTGGGTAACAAGAAGGAGCAAGTCACATGGGGGTGGAATGAAGTACATTCCAGGCAGAGAGAACAGTACATGCAAAGACCCTGAGTGAGAACCAGGCTGGTATGACAGAAGGAACAAATGGCACTGAGTGAGACCAAGAGGTTGGAAGAGTCCAGACAGTGCAGGCCCTGTAGGCCTTGGAAAAGGGTTTGGATTTTGTTCTATAGCCAATGGAAAGTCCCTGGTATGGTGGACATGACAGGATTTTGATGTGAAAGTGGCCTAGTGGGGTTGTAAGGATAACAGATGTTTCCTCTGCTCCCCAGCCCCCCGTTCTCAATTCCTGATCCCTTCTTCCCGTGTGCCTCACTCTCAGCTTCTCACCCGCCAGAGCTGGAGCAGCTACCTCCTGTGGTTACCCTAATCTGTAAATGCAGGTTTCGGGCTTCCTTGTCTGCTGGCCCCCAAGCTTTTGGAGACTCAACAGACCTGAGGACTCCAGTTGTTTTTTGGGGCATTGAAGGCTGAGCTGTGCTTTATAGGGCCCCTACTGAGGACACCACACCTCAGTTCCCAGATCGAAAGTTCTTCTCCCAGTGAGAACCACGCCTCTTGGCCTTGGTCTCTCTAGGTCCTATCTGGTCTGTCTTGAGAGGTGGGTGCTGGGTGGCCCTGCCCAGTGGTGCTCAGGGCCTAAGGACCCCCTAAAATCAGTACCAGTTGCCATGGAGTCAATTCCAAATCATGGTGATCCCCCAGATGTGTCAAAGTAGAACTGTGCCCCACAGGGTTTTCAATGGCTAATTTTTCAGAAGCAAAACTCTAGGCCTTTCTCCTGATGCATTCCTGGATGGATATGAACCTCTAGCCTTTTGGTTAACAGGAGAAATCATTAACTGTACCCCTAGGGAACTCCCCATTAGTTGGAATGACTGAGGGCACCTGACTTTGGGGGAAGTCCCTACCTTCTAACTATCACTCCCCTGCTGCTCCCTGGGGCTGGAAATTCCCTTAAGCAAAGGCAGGATGTGACCCTCCTCAGGCAGAAACAAGAGCAACAGTCTAAGAATAGGATGTCTTTAACCTTTCACCATAGAGAAGACTTTTGTTAAGGAAAAGACAAGAGAAGTGTCATAAAATAAACCTGGAGCTATATGACTATGAGACCAGAAGAACTAGATGGTGCCCGGCTACCACTGTCAACCACTCGGTGTGGGGTCTATGTAGGAGATCCTGGTTAGAGAGGGAGAAACAATGTGGAACAAAACTCAAAATCATTTGAAAAAAAAAAAGGGAGGGGGGGACCAGGTTTGCTGGTCTGATAGAGCCTGGTAGAACCACTGAGACTATGGCCCCTAGTTGCCCTTGAGGTCTGGAATTGAACCCACACCTGTGGCTTCCAGCCAAACAAAAGAGAGGCATATGAGTTGAACATTTATCTGAGGTAGATACATTCCTTGGAGAGAACAATCATGGGAGAAAGAAGGCTTATTTATGCACAGGGAGACAGCTCAGGGGGCAGGAGCGCATAGAGGGATGGACATTGGGAAGAGGTAACTATTGGGAGGAAGTGGGAGGGGAGCTGTTGCATTGTGGTAAATTGTGGTCAATGTCATGAGACAAAGTGTATGTGAACTACTGTATGGAAAGTGAATTTTCTCTGTAAATTTTCACCCAAGTCCCAATTAAAAATAATAATAATAAAAACTAAAAAAATAAGCCTGGAGGCCTCTCTGGAGAAGGGGCCTCCTCTCAAGGGAGGCCCCAGCTGATAAACAACACTGGCTGGTGGGAATGGAAGAGAGTAGATCTGCTGGGCTGGTAGTCTCAAGGCCCAGTTCTGCCTTCCTAGTCCAGGCTGTTTCCTCATAGCCACAAGAATCGTTATTATCACCCACGCCCTGACCTGCTCTCTGGGATGTGAAGAAGGTCCCTGGCTGTTATTGTTGCCTTTCCTGCCAGCCTAGTCAAGTTCCAGAGTGGGTACACTTTGTGGGACACCTGGCTGTGCAGGAAGTCCCTAGAGGCCCTCCCAGGACAGACATACTGAGCCCAGAGCTGAATTCTTCAAAGGAGAGGTGTCCCTTCCTCTCCACGTCTATCCAATCGAAGATCATCTCCAGCTCCTCTTCTCTGCCCAGGAAGCTGAACTTTGCCACCTGGAAGGAAAGGGTGAATTGAGTGGCTGTGCTCAGTGGGACAGCTTTGGGGTACACTTAAAAAAGGGGGAGGTGTTTTTCTTCAAACTTCCTCACTTCTCCTCTCCCCAGTTTTGGAATTATCTGCATAATCTGACCTGGGGTCTACCCTTGAGACTCCCCAGCATTATCCAGACAGCCCTCTCAGCAGAGCCCTGAACTGGCCACAAACCTTTCCCTTCCCTGATCCAACATCAAAATGTATCTGTTCTGAGTCCCCTCCCTTTAGGATGCTGATAAAGCCCAGTAGCTAATACTCCCCAGAATGTGTTTGTCAGTATCCAAAAGTTACCTGAAATTTGAAAATAAGGGAAAAAGTTGGACAGCACATCCTTTGAACATTATACAGGGCCAAAGGCTACGCAAACATTTTCTAGACAATCTGAGTATACTTAGTTCACCTTATTATTTACTACCAATTAAAGGTCCCAGACTAAATGAAGTCACATGTCAACATAAAGATTTTTGTCCAGGACAGATGGATTTTTTTTTACGTAGCTGAAAAGATATAAGTCCTGTTGGACATTAACTAGCTTTATAAAATCTAACTCAGCAATCTGATTCTAACATCTTTGTGAAATATGCTCTATATGCCTTAGCTTAAAAATTCTCTAAAATCTGAACAATCATGGGAGAAAGAAGGGCTGTGTATGCACAGGGAGACAACTCAGGGGGCAAGAGTGCATGGAGGGATGGACACAGGGAAGAGAGAACTATGGGGAGAAAGTGGGAGGGGAGCTGTTGCATTGTGGTAAATTGTGGTCAATGTCATGAGACAAAGTATATGTGAACTGCTGTATGGAAAGTGAATTTCCCCTGTAAACTTTCACCCAAATCACAATTTAAAAAAATAAAATTCTCTCACGTCTATAATATCTCTCATTGATTAACGACTTAAATAAAATCTTCGATATGTGTTCATTCTCCGTTTGTCTAAGAGTCATGATTTTACCTTTCTGAAAATTATCCTTTGACAGTTTCAGAGGTTCCATTGAGATGCCCCAGTGGATTCACACAACAAAGCCAAGAAAACCTCTGCAGGAGGAGTGTACCTGGTGAGCTCTTCAAGCCCGGAACTAAAACCAAACCCTGTTGCCATAGAATAGATTCAGACTCAAAGTGACCCTGTGTGTCACAACTGCTCCATGGGGTTTTCTTGGCTGTAATCTTTTCTTTGTTTTTGTAATTTTTATTGTGATCTGGTTGAAAGTTTACAGAGCAAATTCATCTTTCATACACCAGTTCATACACATTTTATTTCATGACATTGACTGCACTTCCACACAATGTAACAGCTCTATTTCCATCTCCTCCCTGTAGTTACCTCTTCCCTGTGCCCTTCTTTACTATGCATTCCTGCTTTCTGAGCTATCTCCCTGTTCAAACACTGCCCTTCTATTCTCCCATGATTGATCGTTCTAAGGAGTGTATCTACTTGATGTAAATGTTCACCCTATATGCCTGTCTGTTGTTTGGCTGGAAGCCACAGGAGTGAGTTCAATTCCAGACCTGAAGGCTAACTAGGGGCTATATATAGTCTCAGGGATCTTACCAGGTTCCATCAGAACAGAAACCCTGGTCATTTTTATGAATTTGAATTTTGTTCCACATTGTTCTCCCACTCTATCCAGGATCTCCTGTACTGATCCCTTTCAGAGTGATTGGCAGTGGTAGCCAAGCACCATCTAGTTCTTCTGATCTCATGATCATACAGGCTGAGGTTCACATGGTCCACTAGTCCCTTGGACTAATTATTTCCGTGCATCTTTGGTTTTCTTCATTCTTCTTTGCTCTGGGCAAGGAGAGACCCATGGTTGCATCTAGATAGCTACTTGCAAGCTTTTAAGACCCCAGTATCTACTCACCAAAGTAGGATATAGAATAATTCCAATTGAGCTTGATGTCCCCTGTGACCATTGTCCTGAGTCTTGGCTGTAATCTTTACAAGAGCAGATCACAGGCCTTTCTTTTGTGGTGCCATTGGGTGGGTTCAAACTACCACCCTTTAGGTTAATAGCCAAGAGCAAACTGTTTGCATCACCCAGGGACAGTCTTTAAGTCCAAGCACTCCCTTTCTTGACTCTCAGAGGGAATCCCAAGTGTTACACCACTTCAACTTTGCTGGCTTTCTCTTTCTCTAGGGTTTCTGTTTGTTTGATTCTTTTTATTGATTTTGTTTTTTTGGTTTTGGTTCATACATGACTGAAAAGTTATTCCTCACTGGTGGCAGCAGTGATGAGAAATTTGATTTTATGATCTGACCATTGGTGATCTTTGTGGGAAAGGTGACAGAGAACTAGGGCTTATTGGTCGAGAGACAGCAACTGGTCTGGTTTGCTAATCTTATCTGTTGTGTTTGTTGTTGATCTATTTGTGACTTCAAATCTGTTAAAAATGTCATACTAACTGGGAAGAACAGAAACCCTGGTGGTGCAGTGTTTAAGCACTCAGCTGCTAACTGAAAAGTTAGTGGTTTGAATCCACCAGCTGCACCGTGGGAGAAAGATGGAGCAATCTGCTTCCGTGAAGATTACAACATTGAAAAACCCGTGGGGCGGCTCTACTCTGTCCTATAGGGTCACTATGAATTGCAATCAACGGTACAACAATGAGGAGCTCTGGTAGCATAGTGCCTAAGGCATTTGACTGCTAACCAGAAGGCTTGTGGTTCAAACCCCCTAGCCACTCCTGAAAGGAAGATTGGGCAATCTACTTCCATAGTGATATTGCCTCGGAAACCCAAGGAGGGGTCGCTATGAGTTGAATTGACTTGATGGCAGTGAGTTTTGTTTCTCCTATGGCAACAGTTTTGGTTTGGGTTTGGGAAGGAGAACAGCTCCTTGAGATCTGAACTGGTAGATTTTTGCATTTACTTTTGATTGGTGGTTGAAGTTGTAGAAATGAAGCTGTATGTTCTCTATGAGTTTGTAATTCAGAAAGGCCTTTAACTCTTGTGAGTTTAAAATATTTTTCTACATTAACCAAAAGAAAACAAGCCCACTGCCATCCAGCCTATAGGGCAGAGTAGAACTGCCCCATAGTAAATGTTTCCAAGGCTGCAAATCTTTACGGAAGCAGACTGCTTCATCTTTCTCCCACGGAACCTCTAGTGAGTTTAAACCATCAACCTTTTGGTTAGCAGCTGAATGCCTTAAACACTGTGCCATTAGAGTACTATGTCTCTTAGAGTCTCTGTTTGGTTTATAGAGACAAATAAGTGTTTATAGAAATCCAGTGTTCCCTAAAATCACAGCAAATAAAGAAACTGAACTTCTAATGCTTTAAGTGTGCTAGACATTTAAGAAAAATCTTTCTTACAGAAATTACTAGTTCGGAAAACTTTTAAGGCTTTAAGTTCACGTAATTAAACTGGTTTAATAATTTTGGATTACAAAAATAAATAATTACTATCTATGCTGTCTCTGGGAGCTCTGGTAGCATAGTGCCTAAGGCATTTGACTGCTAACCAGAAGGCTGGTGGTTCAAACCCACCAGCCACTCCTCAGAAGTGAGATGGGGCAATCTACTTCCATAGTGATACTGCCTCGGAAACCCAAGGAGGGGTCGCTATGAATTGAGTCCTACTCGATGGCACACAACAACAACAACAACAACAACCCATCTATTTGGGAGCTCTGGTGGTGTAGTGCCTAAGACATTTGACTGCTAACCAGAAAGCTGGTGGTTCAAACCCACCAGCCACTCCTCAGAAGGGAGATGGGGCAATCTACTTCCGTAGAGATACTGCCTTAGAAACTTAAGGAGGAGTCACTATGAGTTGATTCAGTTCCATGGCAGTGAGTGAGTGAGTTATGCTGTCTCTCGGTATAATGCAAGTATACATTCTATTTTTAAAATAAGATCTGTTTTTGGTAAAGAAACTAGTTAATCTGCTTTTCCTACACTTCTGCTTTTGGTTTACTGCCCAAATAAGCTAATAATATTCTGATAAAATGTTTAAGATTATAAAAATATCCATTTGTGTTCAACTAAATTGAGTCATTATTCTGACAAATACATTTTATATTAACCATAACTGTATTTTATAATTGTGTAACTATAATTTTATAGTCGTTTTAAAAACATCTTTTAAGATTCTTCCAAAAGCAAACCCATGGCCGTTGAGTCAGTTCTGACTCCTAGCCACTCTGTAGGACAGAGTAAAACTGCCCTATAGGGTTTCCAAGGCTGTAAACCTTTACAGAAGACTGCCACATCTTTCTCCCAAAGAACAGCTGGTAGGTTCGAACCACCAACATTTCAGTTAGCAACCTAAGATCAAATATTAAATTTAAAAAAAAAATAAAAGAAAATTTCCAGGACATCTTTCTCTATATTTATTAAATGTTCACCAACATTATAAGAGCACCACGGGAAGAACTGTCCAATGAGTTGAGATGCTCAGCCTTTCTGAGGCTGTTTATCTAGGTAAAATCGCTATCATATAAATATTTCAGCAATCATATGCTTTCTGGGAAGGGCCTGGAAATTTCTCATTGCCTTTGCTATCCATAATATTCTTTCTTATCTTCAAGGGATACACTGATCTAATGCTTATTAATAGTTAGGTACTATATCCCAGAATGCCCTGGTGGCAAAGTGGTTAAAGTACTTGGCTGCTAACCAAAATGTTGGCAGTTCAAACCCACTGTGGCTCCACATGAGAAAGATGTGGTAGTCTGCTTCTGAAAAGATTATAGCTTTGGAAACCCTGTGGGGCAGCTCTACTTTGCCCTATAGAGTCACCATAGTCAGAGTCAACTTGATTTGTGAGTTTGATTTTTGGTTTTTGTACTGTATCCCAATGGAGGTTTTTTCTCTCCTCCATTCTGATATTATTCACTACTGTAATAAGTAACCATAGCCTTTCAGTCCCATTGTTAAACAGGTTTGTGTTTCCTGTACCACCTGAAAGGAGCCCTGGTAGCACAATGGTTAAGCTCTTGATTGCTAGCCCAAAG